TTTGTTATTTATTTTGGAGTGCTCTATCAAACACAAAAACAATTTAGTTGATAAAAACTGACACAAAAAAACAGCAGACAAACAAAAACACAAATAACAACTAACAATTAATAATTGGATAATACCACAAAAATAATGGCGATAAAGACTCGAAAAAAAAAAAAAAGAAGCAAAACCAAAAGTAGAAAATAATAGCAGTTAGCAGAGAGGGAAAAAATGCATCACCATAATCAGTGCAGTTGATAACTGAGTGCTTAGCGGCCAGTCATTTTAATTTACGCCAAATTTTTTCCTCTCCAATCGCAAATTTTTGTTTAAAAGCAAAAAACGAATTGGAAAAAAAAAACAGCACTTCCTACAGAAGTCGACTATATTTGATTACTATTTATTCAAAATAAACACTACACAGATTCCCACAAATATAAGTAAACGACACAATCCACCTGAAAATATTTGTTGAAAAAATCTAATCATATAATTCAAAAAAAAAAAAAGTGCATAACCACAGTATAATTTTTGAAAAAGTTTTAATTATAAAAAAATAATGGCAAAAACTGAGAAATAATCTGAGGAAACAAAAGCAGATCTAACAAAAAAGCGTAATGAAATAAATGCAGAAAAAGAAGCAGAAGAAATAGACCTATCGGTGCTTAAAATTATTAAATCTTTCATAAACTTACCAAATTATTAGTCTTAAAAAGCTATTAGATAATCGTAAAAACTATGCTAAGTAGCAACAAAACGAAAAAGAAATGACAAAAAATGAAATAAATTTGAAAGCAACTCAAAGATCAACTTGTAAATGTCATTTTTTTTAATACCATTTTGTTCTTCGATCTTGTTTTTTCAATACTTTATTCTTTTTCATTCCTCCATTTCCTTTGCAAATCGCTTGCTAAAACTGTGCTAAGAACAGTAGTCCTTTTGTTTTTTTTTCTTTTCTTTTCTTTTCTTCGTTACAAATGTCATTTCGGTAAAAAGCAAAAAATTGGTTTTCCTGGCGTTGGCGTTTTGCCAATTTCTGAGAAATTTATCTCACATCTTAAAAAAATATGATAAAACTTAAACATATTAATAAAAATAAAAATTTTTGTTAGTCTTCAAAATATGGGCACTATTTTTGACTGCTTTTTTTCTTCATTTTTTTTTTTATTCTGCCACTCTGAACCACCACTACACTGTTAAAGCGATGCCCACTGTCAATGATGTGTACTTTTTTGATGTTCTTTTTTTAGTTTTTGTTTTTTTTTTCAAAGCACATCTGTCATACACTCAAGACAAACGTTAATTAATGTTGAAAAGATTTTTTCTCTTTTGGAGGAGACTAGAATGAACAACAGTTTACGGTAAAACGTTAAGTGAAAATCAAAAAGTTTAAAAAAAAAAAATGAAAAATGTTCCTCTCCTTTTATCAAGTTTCTTTTTCCCTCTTTTCTTTTTAGTTATTGACCTAAAATTGAGCAAAAAAATAAAAAATAAAAAACCGAATAAATACGATGAGTAGATTATACTCATACGCATACTCACACAAAAAAAAAGGGAAAAAAATAAATGTACAAAAAAAACTGTACTGATATCTGTGAATAATCTATACACATATACAGTTTTTCATCTTCAACTTGAGTTTTTGTTCTGCTTTTCCTTTTTTTCTGCCTCATCAAACATCTGTGCCAAGGGTTCCATCAATTTTTGTAGCTTTTGATTGTCGTCTTTTGAATAGCACTGCCGTTATTGCAATCACCAAAACAATAACAATACCAGCAGCCGATATAATCATTCCCATAGACCATAGATCCATAACTTCAGCACCATTTTGCTGTGGTGCCACCAGCAGTTCTTCATTGACCACCATCCTACATTCGTTACCAACTAATCGATGATCTGTAAAGAAACATCAAACAATTATCACTTAAGACGAATCGCTTAGAAAAAACGTAGAAGAAACGTACACAGCCGTATTATTGTACTCTCTCACACATCGACCTTATCCATTTATAGTTAATGCTACGGCAATGAAAAACCAAAAAAAA